CATGTTCATTGAGTTGCTAGTTGGCCAATCACTAGGATTGATGTATATGTGAGCTTTGATTCAAGCAGAATTGTTGAAATCGTGTTCATGACTTTGATGTTTGTACTGAGTTTTTTAAGTTTTTGAGACGTTATTTCTTGATCCATGCTTGATCTTTGAGATTGATTCAAATTGCATAATGTAGTATGATATGTTAGCTTTAATTTGCATTTGATTTCATGGATTTTGGTTGAGAAACGAGCATGATTGATGGATCTGAACATAGGCTCATGACCTGTTGTGTTGCACGCGTTTTTCCCTATGCTGGAGGTTGAAGATGAAGTGAGGTGGCGCACTGTGATTGGCTTGATTTAAATTTTAATGCATTTCATATTATTTGATTTTAATTGATTTTATGATTTTTATTTCTTGATCAAAACAATTTAAAAAATTCTGAAAAACTTATCACAAGTCCAAAATAATTTCTACTAACTTGTGTAATTTTATTGGAATTTTTAAAAATGTTTTGATTGGTTTAAAATTTCATAAGTTCAAATAATTGTTTGTTTAAAGATTATTTTTATTTTAATAGTTCTTTTGATCTAAAAATTCCATAAAAAATGTTTTGAACTCTTAAAATTATTTAGAATTTGATTCTGAAATTTGTTTGGTATTTTTTCCTATTTTTGATTAAAAGATTGATTTGGGAGTTTTATTTGATTTCTTTTGTTTCACAGTTTTATTTTAATATTTTTCTTAATTAAAAAATCCTAAAAAAAATCATGCAAGTTTATTTTTAATCATAGAGTCTGAATATAATTTTATTTTGACCTTTTTGTGACTTTTGGATAGGGTTTGCATTTTTTCCTTTAAATAATAGTTTAATTGTTAATTGTTTATTTGATTTTTATTTTAATATTTCCTTTAATTAAAAAATTCCACAAAAATTCAGGGATGTATGTTTTTAATCCTAATATTTGAATATAATTTTGGTTGAATTTTTTTCTGAATTTTGATTAAAATTTTATTTTGAGATGTGATTAAGTGTCTAATTGATTAATTGTTTGAATTTGATTTTATTTTTGACTTTTATTTAATTCAAAAAATGTGAAAAAAATATGTATTCTGACATTTAGGGTTTCCTTATGGTTTGGATGATTTTGGTTTGAATTGTTTGAATTTTGATCTTACCTAATTAATATTTAAGATTAAAAGTCAATTAATTAGGGTTTTCTTGCTTATTGTGCAAGTTTCATTTTCAAAACCATTATGCCCTGGATTTTCAATGGAACTTAGGTCTTGATTATGGTTCATGAATGTATTGAGGATCTGAAAACCATTTTTCTTGAATCATTTGACTTGGTTTGATATTTTTCCACAAATTATTTTGAAAGTTTGTCTAGTTTGGTAGTTTGGCCAACTAGTTTTGAACTTTGGGCTCATTTGATCCCCTCCTCAACCATTCATGAACTTAAGATTTGCTTTCTGACTTCTACACACTTCAAAGATGCTAAGAATTTTTTGGTTTGAATTATTGATCCTTGTTTCTATTTTTGATGTATTTTTAAAGTGAAGGTACCCAATTAATGTTGCATATCTTATTGCAATTTTCTTGATGGCCAATGAACTTGAGTGAGGCCTATAATTGGGCACCTAATGATCATGTTGGTTATGATTATCCATATAAACTCAATTCATTTCACTTAATGCCCCATGTTTGAATGTTTGAACTTTTTGATGCATTGTGTGGGATTCCTCTTCTAGTATGCTTGTGAGATGTGTTGAATTAATTGTGTATGATTGGATTGTGGTTGCTACTGACCTTCATGGTCTTTGATTGTATTCTTCTCAATCTCCCATGATCCTTGATTGATATTCAATTATCAACTCAACATGGTGATAGAAAGGAGCAACATTCCTCTAACTGTTGACCAAATTGTGCATATGCCTGTTTATATCATATCTAGTGTTTTGATATTTTCTATCATGTTTCCTCACTTCATTATGGTGTCATCATCCATCCCTCATGTGAATCATCATTATATTTATGGGAATACTAAATTGACTATTGAATGTGCGAGGTACTTTGAGAAAAGTTTTCCATTTTTGACTTGAGGCTACTGTGTTTCACTTTATTTGTGGAACACAATTTATTACATTGGAACTACTCTTGTGCTTGGCATATTTGATAGTCTATGAAGGATATATGTGTGTGATTATGAATGCTATACATTGCCCATGGGATCTGTTCATATATGAAAATCTCAATACTTACATCCTGATGGCGTAATTTCTGACTTGACTTATCTGCTGATGCCAGCTTGCTCGAAGTTCTCTGGGTTTCTTTTATTCTTGTTCAGTTGCTACGGATAGTTATCCGTTTTGTATTGCACTATTTCCTTTCTTCTATTTTCATTTTGTATAGTTTTATGATTGCATGATAGGACCTTTGTTGCTGATATATGTCAGGAGGCCCTCTGTTTTTGTTTGATATATGTGTTGTGTTTGTTTCTTTAACTTTTGATCAATGAGTCACTCAATTTAGAAATTAAGACCAAGACTTCGCTCTCAGTGCATGTTCCCTATAGGATGTTTATTGCTTTTCTTTCTTTAATTGTGGATCGATGAGTCACTCAATTTAGAAATTGAGATCACGACTTTGCTCTCAGTGCATGTTTCCTATAGGATGTTTATTGCTTTTCTTCTTTAATTGTTGATCGATGAGTCACTCAATTTAGAAATTGAGATAACGACTTCGCTCTCATTGCCTGTTCCCTATAGGATAGTTTTGTTAAGCTTCCTTTGACATGTTGATTAAGGTAGGAATCCATGTATGCTAACATAGGATAGGATTTTCCTTTATCCTCAACCTTAGGGTCAATCATTGTATGATAACGCTAGGGATAATGCTAGGCTAGTTTCCCTTAGTTGTTTTTTTTCTTCCTTTGTATTTTGCATCTTAAAACAAAAATCATTTTCTTGGCAAATCATAAAACATTTCTGATAAACTCAAACCCTTCTTCAAGGTAAAAGATACAAATCAATCTTGTTTGTTTGTGTGCCTCTTGGATTTGTTTTCAAATCTGGCTTAGCCGATGTTTCACCATCGTACATTTGTTTGAAGCCGATGTTTCTCCATCGCACATGTTTGTTATCCTACTTTGATTCTCAATATCATTGTTAGGTGTGATGTTTTGTCATCCGATTTATCGATGTCTCGCCATCTTTGCCATGATATTTTACTACCTTTTAGCCGATGTTTCGCCATCGCACATTTGTTTGAAGCTGATGCTTCGCCATCGCACATGTTTGTTATCCTACTTTGATTCTCAATATCATTGTTAGGTGTGATGTTTGGTCATCCAATTTATCGATGTTTCGCCATTTTTTCCCATGGTATCTTGTTATCTTATAGACGATGTTTCGCCATTGCACACTTGTTTGAAGCTGATGTTTCGCCATTGCACATGTTTGTTATCCTACTTTGACTCTCAATGTCATTGTTAGGTGTGATGTTTTATCATTTGATGTTTCGCCATCTTTGACATGTTACTGTGTTATTATTTAGTCGATGTTTTACCATCTCATTTATTTGTTGTTTCATTTGGATTTTTGCCATCTTGGCTGTTTTTGTTGTCTTAACTAAAAAACACAAACCAACCAGAATATATGAGCCGAACTACGACTGCTTTGATTCCTTAAAAGGGATACGTAGGCAAAGGGGTAGGGTCCAACCGAGCACATCTTTTATTTTCCCTACATTGTTTTCTTTTTCTTTCGCATGCATTCCTTTTTTAGCTTTAAGCCATAAACATATGATTTGACCACACTCATTAGATTAGACAACAATAGTGGATACCGTAGAGTACTACGAACGTGTGGGATGCTAATACCTTCCCCTCGCGTAACAGACTCCCTTACCCGATCTTTCGGTCGAAAGACCGCGATTTCTCCCTTTTCAGGTTTTCTCGATGTTTATCTTTCCCTTTCGGCGGGATAAAAGACGTTCGGTGGCGACTTCATTGATGTTTCATTACATCCAGATGACAGGTTCCGGCCAGGCGGTTTCAGTCTTCCCTAATGATTATTAGATCATTGGATGTGGAGAATATCATTTGAGACCTCAAGAAGAAGATGGAAAATTAATTGGTCCTAAAGTACCATATATCAGTGTGATTCGAGCACTAATGTATCTTACTAATTATACACACCATGATATATCAATTTTTATCAATCTATTTGTAATATATAATTCTTCACCTACATAGAGACATTAAAAGAGAGTTAGACATATACTTCGTTAACTTTGAGATGTAGGTTACTTATCCTCGTAATGGAATATCACAAACATGTTACTTGTTTATTCAGGGTGGTATAACTATTTCATAGAGATATGTAAAATAACCCATATAGCAACAATTTTGTCAAATAATGCATAACTTTTAGCACTACATGAAGTCATTCTCAAGTAATATTTTTAACCAACTAATACAAAACATTAATTTTCATCGTCGAAGAAATGATTGTTCGGTTGAAAAGGAAAAATAAATTTATTTTAAAAGTATATTATACTTTTTTTTTCTTCACTAAATTTTTTTCACCGAATTTTTTCTAATAAGATTTTAAGTAGACATATCCTCCAACAACATATGGTATAAAATACACTTGAGAATAATACAATTCAAATTTTATTATCTATTTTTGTTTTTTTTTCAATTTCTTTTCTAAGGATATTTTATTCATCTTAATGTTAGATATTTTTTATTGAAATGAACTTGATGTTATAATCTTAAACTATCATGATAAAAGAAACAAAATAAAAATAAAAAGTATAACTATTTTTTGAAGACTTGAGTGAAGTGATTCAAGTGAAGCAAGAAACACTCTCTGATTCAGGCGTTTACATTGTTTGACAAACATGCTTTCTAGGTCAGATTTCAATTTCCCAATTTATCTCTCTTTCTCTTCATTTTCCATTCATTCTCTATAACTCTCAGCATTCAATTATCATTTACAAATTGATGTTTGCTTCTATGACAATAAAGCTTCAATCTTTGACACACCACCCTCGATTCCTCAAGTGGGTTTATATATCTTCAACCAGTATTCAACCTATTTCACAAACCATTGAAATTGTAAACCCCAATTATGATTTCGACCAAAATATTAACTTTTTGAAGAATAAGCTTGCCCCGGATAATTTAATCCAAGTTTTGAACCGTACAAGTGATTTAAACTCAGCAGTGAAGATTTTCAAATGGGCTTCGATACAGAAGAGTTTCCACCACACCTCTAATACATATTTTGAGATCATTATGAAACTGGGTTTAGCTGGGAATGTTCTAGAGATGGAGGATTTTTGTCATAACATGGTGAAGAACAAGTTTCCAGGTGCTGAAGTAGCTCTTGTATCATTGATTCATAGGTTTGTGGAGCATGGTAGAATTAAAGAAGCGATGATAGTCTTAGCGAATATGAATTCGGGGGGTTATAAGCCCCCAATTGAGGTTTTTAATGGTTTGTTATGTGCTATTGTGCAACAAGAAAGTAGAGATTTTCAGAATGCTTTGTTTGTTTATAAAGAGATGGTGAAGGCGGGAGTGTTGCCTACGGTCGACACTTTGAATTATTTGTTGGAGATATTGTTTAGAATTGACCGGGTTGATCTTGCTTTGGATCAATTTAGAAGAATGAACAATAAAGGATGCAGTCCAAATAGTAAGACCTTTGAGATACTTGTAAAGGGTCTCATAAAAAATGGTCGCGTGGATGAAGCCATTACTGTTTTAGAGCAAATGCTCGAACTTGAATGTCAACCGGATTTGAGCTTTTATTCCTCCACCATACCTCTCTTTTGCAGGGAAAATAAAGTAGAGGAGGGAGTGAAGTTGTGTAGAAGGATGAAAGATTCTGATCTTGTGCCGGATTCGTTTGTTTATGAGGCTCTAATACAGTGCTCGTGCGAAAACTTGCAGATGGATTCCGCAGTATACCTCATAAATGAAATGGTAGGAAGTGGTATACAACCAAATGAAAATGTTTTTGTTTATATGATAAATTGCTATTGTGAATTGGGGAAGATAGATGAGGCTATAGTGTTTTTAGAGGATAAGCAAGTTAACGAAACTGCTCCTTTCAATGCATTGCTCGAAGGTTGCTGCGATGCTGGTAAAATTCAGGTAGCTAATGTTCTGCTGGAAACAATGTCGGAGAGATATGTAGCTGATTGTTTATCTTGGAACATTCTCATTAGATGGCTTTGTGAGAATGATGAGACTCAGAGAGCATATGCACTTCTTGGCAGAATGACCAAATTCTCAGTTGTTCTTGACTCTGCAACATATTCAGCTCTTGTGGTTGGCAACTGTAGATTGAGAAAGTATGATGAAGCAATGGAACTATTTCGTCAAGTTTCTGCAAGATATTGGAGTTTAGATGTCGTCTCTTATTCTGAACTAGTAGACAGCCTATGTGAGATCAACCGTTCTCAACACGCCATTGAAGTGTTTTACTATATGTCAACGAAGCAATGCTCTCTTCATTCCTTCTCCTTCAACAAGTTGATAAAATGTGTATGTGACTCGGGACAGGTCAACATAGCTGTAAAACTATGGCAATTAGCTTATTATTGTGGTATTTCTTGCTGTAATGTCACACAAACTACTCTCTTGCTCGAGTTGTCTAAATTAGATAACGCAAAAAATCTGTTAGCGTTCCTCTCACAAATGTTGATTGTTGGAGGTAATCTTGACACAGAAGCATATTGTATCCTTATCCGTGGCATGATTAAACAAAATCTAGTAAAGGAATGTGTTTTGTTTTTCGATATGATGGTCAATGATGGTTTGATACCTGATCCAGACGAACTATTTGATCAACTTTCGTTCATAGCAAATCATTCTCGGTTATCTATGATTCCTAGTGCCATTGAAAAAATTTCTGACAGCAAAAAATTGAGTTCAGCGGTATATAACTTACTGATAAGTAGCTTGTGGAAAGAGGGTAAGGAACATGAGGCACGGGGATTACTTGATATGATGCTAAAAAAGGGTTGGCTTCCTGATACAACCACTCATAAATTATTGATTGGATCTGATGTTAGAGAAGGAAGAAGCCAAGCAACATTGTTGTTTGATGATTCTGATTCTGTTAGCGATATACTTGCAGAAGGCCTTGGAGATTCATGAAACTTCAGCTTTCCATGAAAGAAATCTTATTGCTTTGCACGCCAGTTTCATACTGCGGCTTTGCCCAACAGGGATTATATATTCAGCAAGTCTCTTATCAATTAGAACTGCTGGAAAGATGTTAGTTTCATCAATCTTATTTGCCATGTTACACTAGGTAAGATGTCAAATAACTTTTAATTTGAATATAAATTCACTTACTTGATAGAGTCATCATCCTTTTCAATAAATATATGAATTTTTCTGTTGCGATAAAATGATCTCAAAGTCTGTTAGAAGAGTTTATATAGTTACACACTATGTTGTCAATAACACGCTATAGCAGAATAGCACAGTGGTGGTAGGAGTCTGCCTTTGCAGCCTTAATCTGCTATTGCGGCTCTGCTCTATTTTTCTTCTCTATTTAAGTTTTATTGCTATGTATTTTAGGTTCCTTGTTTATTAAGTATGACGGTCTCTTTAGTTTTACGTATTTATGTTTACTTTACACACTAATTTTTAATCTTCGCAATGTCGGTGTTTTCCTCTGATTTTGGTAAATAACGTTGGTCTCTTAATAGAAAGTTTACCGGCGAGATCGATCAGGGAATCTCAGTACAGTGCTTCAGTTTTCGAGTGTTTTCACAAAGTGTGTTCAAAAGGATCCGTTCGACTAAGGCGAAGCGGACCTAAAAGCAATAAAGCAGAAATCGTAAAATAAAACAAAGGCGTGTTAAACTGCAAAAATAGATGGCATAATATCAAAACAATTGAAAATGGGTTGATTCAAACATACATCGTCCGTGTTTGACTCATTTCGCTCGCTTGCTTGGGTAATCTGAGTGACTGACGTGTAAGAATGTGAAAGTTTGAACCTTTTACACTATGTACTAAGTGTTTTACTTATAATACATGAAAATAACTACTTTTTTTGGCGGACTTTGTTTCCTTATGAGCCACGTGTCCTTTGTAACTTTCCTTCATGAACCCACGTTCTCTATTGTAACTTCCCTTCATGAACCTAAATTCTCCATTCTTGCTATCGAACCCACATTCTCTATTCTCAAAGCTTTGATTAGCTAGTTATTCCCTCTTTTCGGCTTTTTAACACTCTTGAGCTCAATCTATTCCTCGCGAGGCCTCTCTTCTGGTCGACTACGTCTACAAGCCCAAATTGGCCTTTTATGAAATCTCTTCTGGTCGACAGCTTCTGTGGTTGACTTTCTATAATCTAAAATCTTCAAAGAACCCTTTTTGCTTTTGGTTGGATTTTGACCCCTTTATAAAAATCATAGCCAACAAATTGTCCCCTAAAATGTCATTTTCGACTGAAAGAACAGAAGTGGACATTTTAATCCTTTTCTCTTAGTGTGAAATGATGTCATCGTAATCATGACTTTTTCTCTCAAACGTTACATCAGCGATCACACAGTCATTTTCCTATTTTCTAGTTTCAACTTCATAGGATAATCGTGGCCTCCAACCCAACTTCTTCAACTCAGTTGCGACCTATTTGACACGTGCCACTCGTGTAGCCATTTTCTCCCCAACGTTTGGTCTTCTTGGTGGTATAAATACCCCTTTCATCACTCCGATTTCCTTTTTACGTTTCTTTGCATACTCAAGCTCTTTGTCTTCGTACACCACAAAAATTTTCATCTTCATTTTTTGCCCAAAAAAACTTTCCATCCTCTCCATGGCCGCTTCAAGCCAAATATGTAAACACATTCAAACTCACCAGGAAATTGAATTGGTTTCCAACATGAGTGAGTTCTTTGTTCATGATCAAAACACTTTTGTCTTAGAACCAACGCCAACACACAATCTCCAAACTTTTCGCTCTCAGTTGTTGTTTCCCTTCATCTGCAACGACACTGCTTACACTCTATTGAGGCCTATTCCTGATGAGGTTAGGGTACCTAAACACTGGGAAGGTTGCTTCCCTACTCACAAAACCTCACAAAACCACCAAATCCCCTGTCAACATATATTTCCCTATAGATTTTTCGCACATCTATCGTACATATAAAGTCTTCCGTTCTGCCCCTGCTGTCAACCAAGATTACATTGCATGGTTGAATAAAGTAGAGAAAGTGAAGGGTGACGTTTGGAACTCTCAAGGATTTTTTTAACTTGATTTAGCTTTCTAGGGTTGACCCTAGTTATTACAATCATATGCTGATTTCCGCACTCTACTTCTGGGAAGGCTCTACAAATACCTTCCATTTTACAGTTGGGATGCTCACTCCCACCATGTTTGACATTGCGACCATCACTGGTCTCCACCCTATAGGTGAAGCGTTTCTCCCCACTGAAGCAGACGAAAACGTCATTCCTTTTAAAAAGGAGATTGTTGGCTTCACCAAATATATGGAGCGTATTCATGCCAAAGGTGTCTATACTGTGTCTGATGAAGAACACGTTGCCTTCTTGGCCTTGTGGCTCTCCAAGTATATTTTTTGCAGTCGATCTCTGAAGGTATCTAAACGATTCATTGCGTTAGCTCATCACCTTCATCTGGCCCGACACGTATGCTTAAGCGAACTTATTTTGAGGTTGCTCTCTGAATCCTTCAGCATGGAGGTCGATCATATGACCTCACTTTCACCTACTGCAAGCTATCTGCTTGCTGGGCCTTTCTGGCTTCTTCAATTATGGTTAAATGCTACTTTTGCGATCCAACTCAAACTGTGTCTCTCTGAAGCACATGAAACCGCATTCCCCAACGTGCCAACGAAAGCCTTTGTCTTGTTGCAATGACGCCTTCTAACAATGACATGACTCGAGAGTAGTCGCTTGAGAAATACTTCAAGTTTTTCTTTACGTGCACTTCTTTTCATCCAAGCATGGCACCCTTTGTCTCTATACCACATGGTCCTGAGTGGTTCACTCGACTATTTCCTCCTGTCGATCCTGCGCAGGTCCTCGAATCCAAAACCATCTGGCAAGATTTCTTAACCCCTAGGCTCATATCATCTAGGGTAGGAGCTAATGATGGTGTGACACTCCTATGTTATCAGGCTAATCTAGTGGCTAGACAGTTTGGCTTGTTCCAACCTTTACCTCACAACTTTTATAAGCCATTAGACGAACTGTGTCTTTCATCCACCAACTACAACAAGGGAGAATGTGCTCAACGAATTCAACATTTTGCTGATGATGTCCTCAAGTTAACTCCTGTCTCCTTCGAGCCCATCTTCTACACCACTAAGGAGTTATATGACTGGTGGACTGTGCACTTTGTGCAAAGTAATGGGACTCTCAAGTTCTTAAAAGCTCGACTGAACCATGCTTTTGAAGCCATGCAACAAAAGTTTAAGAAAGGTATAGCTTACTATTGTAACCGTCAGTCGCCTTCTTGTTTATGTTTTGATTTCTAACGCTCCGTCTTATGTTATTGCCTTATTCAACGGTCGAGCACAAGAAACGCGCCAGGGAAGCTATCAGCGGTGCGACTGTTTCTCCATCAGCTAATGAGGCCTTTGGAACTTTTTCTCAGGTAATCTACTACCTTGATAGTTCACTAGCTGTTTGCGTTCTTTTCTAACCCACTGATTGTGTTGACACGTTCGTAGGCTCCTGAAGCTAACATCATAATCCCTCCTGAACTGTCTCCAAAGAGAAGGAAACACTCTTCTAACCAAGAGAAACGAGCTGACCCGACGCGTCCTCCCCTGCCATCTCCAAAAAATCCAAAAAAGCCCTAGTTGACTCGATTTGAGGTCGCCTAAAAAAAGGCCACTTCGGCCACTGTGCCTGCTCCGGTGGTGGCAAGAGAACGAGTTTTGTAGTCTGTGCCAACTCAACCAGAAAACATTAACTCTAGTCCTGAAGGAGACCATCAGGTACCTTATTCTTCAAAGACTCTTTATCTTAGAAATCGTTCATCCTTTTGATGATTTTGTTCTCACTTTCCTTTATTGTTTCAGCGACTGGCAGTTAAAACAAAAAAACGCCCCACTAAGATTGTCTTGAAATCTCCCAAGACCAAAAGGAAACCAACTGTGGTCTTGAATGATAGCGAGTCTTCTGGGAGCGACCTCAACTCTTCCATCACCCAGGGTACTTCTGAGTATTCCCCCACCAGTGAGGGATTGGAGGAAGACGCCAATAATGATAGCCTGGGGGTGGGTGTTAGAGGTGATGTCTTTAGAGGATCTAGAACATGTTGTTGTTGATGCACCACAACTGCTTACCAAAATATTTTCCAAATGGAAGAAGTGACTCTTCAGGCACCAGCCTCTTTTGGCACCATTTCGACCCCTTCCAACGTGATTCTTGCGACCAACACCATGTCGCCCCTACAAGTTATTGCTATGAGGCAAACCAGCCCCTTTGAGTATTTAAAATTTTTGGTGAACGCCAAGAACCGTTCGATTGACGGAGGCTCCAGTACTTCTACTGCATCTAGAGGTATCTCTTCTCCTAGGACTCAAGAAGAAGTTCTTAATCGTCTCAAAACCATTATCTTTCATGTTGATTTGATCACCCATTTGGAGGAGTATCCCTATGATGGTATTAAGATTAAAGAAATGCTAAGGAAAGTTGACGTTCAAGCCGCATCTCCTTTAGTCCTGAAATTTGTGGCTGAAGCGTCTACCGTCCTTGATCATCTCTTGGTCGACTTGGCTGAAAAGAAAGAGATCCAGGAAAGACGCCTTCCCAAGGAGAAAGAGCGCACTGTTGAATTAGCTTTTGTGAATTCTTCCATGGCTGCTAGTGAAGAACTGAAGGAAACTCTTGACAAAGAGACAACAGACTTTAACACTAGGGCCATAAATATTTCCCAATGACAACAGCAGATCATAGTGTTGAAGCAACAAATTGAAGGGCTGGAGAAACAAATTGACGAGGCAAAGACTTTGCAAGTTGTTGGGTTTCATGCAGCTAAACATGCGTCGAATAATGAAGCTCTAGTTGGGGTCGCTCATCTGGAGCGTGTTGGCGTGTTGGATATTGAGCTAGCCGTTCTTGACACCTCTATCTCGTTAACCAATGCTCGTCTGGAGCTCGCTCGAGAA